ATATTTAATCCATTAATTCAATCCATTTGCCTATTGTGCCATTACTGATATATGTGAGTTTAAATCCACTGTCTTACTATTTTATTTATCTTGTAAATTCTATATTCCTTTTTCCCTTCTATCTTGCACTTTTGGAGAGTTGATTAAATTTTTTTTATTATAACTTTTTCTGCTTTGATAACTTAGAAATTATATACTGCCTTTTCCTATTCTATTAGTGGATATCCTAGAAATTATAATACGAGTTATTGAATTATTAAAGTCTAATGTTAACACTTTTATCTTCCTTTTCCTGGACAATTGCAGGGACCTTAGAATTCTTAACTCTATCCTTCTCCTGGCTTATATACCATTGTTTTTATGTATTTTATTGTCTGTGTATATTAAAACCCCAAAGATACTATTGTTCTTGTTTTATATCATAAATATTAATTTAGATTTTCCCACATATCTAACATTTTTGTTTTTAATTTCTTCTCACATCTCTAGACTTTCATCTAGGAACATTTTCCATTTGCCTGAAGACTACCCTTTATAGCAGGTGTACTGGTGGCAAATTCTTTGAGTTTTAGTATGTCAGAAAGTCTTTAGTTCATCTTTATTCTTGATGACTGTTTTAGCTGGGTGTAGAATTCTAGGTTGGCCCTTTTTTCCTTTCATTGCATTGAGGATATGTTTTTTGGTCTTCTCACTGTATTTCTATGTATCTCATCCATTCTTGTGTATTTTTCCATTGTTTTGACTGTACATATTGAATTCTGGTCTAATAAATTGTTAAACCCATCCATTGAGTCCTTAATTTCAGTTATTTTGTTTTTCAGTTTTAGAAATTCTACTTAATTCTTTTTCATCTACAGGGTCATTTTTTATAGTTTTTAGTTCCTTCATGAAATTTTGACTTTTATCTTCATAAATGACCCTTTTAGTTATTTTGTAGTTATTTGGTCATTGAACTATCTGGAGTCCTCTCTGTTTTGGTATCTTTGCTTGCTGTCCATTGTTTTGGGGTGCTTGTTCATGTATTCTTTTCTTCCTGTGTGCTTGATTATTTTCAGTTATGGCTTTTTATTGTATTTGGGAAATTATTTTTAGAAATAATTTAAAATAGGGGCTAGCTAAAGATGTTGAACCTTTGGGTTTTTACATAATCTTACTTTGGGCAATTACATAATCTGTCTGTGCCTCTGTAAAATGGAGATAGTACCCATTTCATAGGGTTGCTGTGATGATTGGTTATTAGATCATTAAATATGAAAAGTCTAATTTTGAATCAAAAGTGTAGTTTATTATAGTTCAAACAAGAAGCAGTACAATTAATCAAAGTATGTGCCTAAACTATGGACACAGTTTTGCCATCTTAATGGTAGCTTGTTTATGCCAGCAGCAAAGAAGCCTGGAGAGCAAGTGGTGATGAAACCGCAAAAGGCATTTCCTACAGCTTGTTGAGAATTGAATATTTTTCCTTGCAAGAAGTGATCCAAAGCCTGGAAGAAGTGGTAGTCAGTTGGTGCAAGGTCTGGTGAATATGGTGGCTGACAAAGAGTTTCCAAGTCCAGCTTCTGAAGTTTGAGCAGCGTTGTTTGTGTGACATGTGATTGACCATTGTCTTGCAAGAGGATTGGACTGTATCTGTTGACCAGCCTCAACTGTTTAATCTCAAGCATCCTCATCATTTCGTCCAATTGTTTGCAATAGACATCTGTTGTAATTGACCAAGTTTCATGAAGCTGTAGTGAATAATACCAGTGCTGGACCACCAAACAGACACCATTAGCTTTTTTTTGATGAATATTTGGTTTTGGACTGTGTTTTGGCTCTTCATCTTTATCCAGCCATTGTGCTGAAAGCTCGCAATTGTCAACAAGAATCCATTTTTCATCACACATAACAATACAGTGTAGAAATGGTTGGTCTTTATGTCGCGACAGCAAAGAAAGGCAAGCTTTGAGACGATTTCTCTTCTGACTCTCATTTAATTCATGTGGTACCCATCTATCCAGCTTCTTTACCTTGCCCATTTGTTTCAAATGGTCCAGTATTGTTGGAATAGTAACGTCAAACCTAGCTGCTAATTCACACGTAGGTTGAGATGGATTTGCTTCCACTACAGCTTTCAGCTCATTATTCACCTTGGTCTCAGGTCACCCACGTGGCTCATTTTCAAGATTAAAATCTCTAGAATGGAACTTCCCAAACCATTGACGTACTGTGCATTCATTAGCCACATCTTTCTCAAACACTTCATTGATATTTCGAGCTGTCTGTGCTACGTTGGTTCTACGACAGAACTCACATTTGAAAATAACACAAATTTTTGACGTATTCATGGTTTCACAAAAATAGCTGTAAAAAAATTGAAAGATAATCACAAGCTAAAACATGCATTTGAAAGACTAAGGATGTACCTTCACAATAAACATAAAACAAGTATCAAAGTAAAATGTCAGAGATATCAACAGTCAAACTTAGTACTTAAGGAAATTGGACATTTCATACTTAATAAACTAATAGTATGCAGAAAATATATGCATGTATAAGCTATTATTATATTTGTAAAATAGAATATTAAATTTCACACAGGTAACAAAATGCTTTTAAAATTATCTTTTTGAGGGGAGTTACCTTTTAAAAATTAACTTGGTTTGTCTGGAGAAGCATTTTGCTATGGCATTTAGCTTAAAACTGTACTTTGAAAAATACTAGTGAATTATTCATTCTTTCATTCAATATTTAGTGTTTGTCTGGCCTATGCTAAATTCTAAGAGGACAGGGAATTTACATACCAGTGTAGGAAGCAGTAACTAAGTGAACAAATAAATGCCCAGGGTAATAACCTATGTGAAGGAATCAGCGGAAAGCTCTGGAAGCAGGGAAGAGCTTGCTGTGTTTATGGAGCAGATGAGAGGCCTGGACTGGTGAGCCGGGCAGGGAGGAAACGAGAGGTTGGACGGAGGAAGTGCCAGAGCCACGTTTTGCAGGGCCTTTGAGTCTCCAGTAAGCAGCTAGGGTTATTTTCTAGAGGGAGTTAGGTTTTCTTTCCAAGGAAGCTGTTGAAAAGGGGTTTTAAGCAAGAGAGTGTATTGGGTCTGACTGACATTTGCCAAAGTTGTTTTTGCTACTGGGCACAGAGTCAATAGGAGAGAGGCAGGCTGGGCCTGGCAGAAGGCAAGTCTGACGCTCTAGGGCTGGGCCGGGTGGCAGCAGTGAGATGGAAGTGCATGCATTCCAGTCAGAGCACATGCATTTATTTTGGAGGTAGAATTGACAGGTGTTCGTGATGGCTTGGATGAGGACAATGAGAGAAAGGGAGAAGTCAGGGGCAATACGTAGATTTTTGGCTAAATGCCATTTTAACAGTATGCATATAGTCCCTCTATTATTTATTTATTTATGAGACAGAGTCTCACTCTGTTGCCTGGGCTAGAGTGCCGTGGTGTCATCCTAGCTTACAGCAACCTCAAACTCCTGGGCTCAAGTGATCCTCCTGCCTCAGCCTCCCGAGTAGCTGGGACTACAGGCTTGCACCACCATGCCCGGCTACTTTTTTCTATATATTTTTAGTAGTCCAGCTAATTTCTTTCTCTATTTTTGGTAGAGATGGGGTCTCGCTCTTGCTCAGGGTGGTCTCGAACTCCTGAGCTCAAACGATCCACCCGCCTCGACCTCCCAGAGTGCTAGGATTACATGCATGAGCCACCACGCCCTGCCTATTCCCTCTATTATTAAACCTTTTTTGGTTCATCATGACATGATCCTTCCCAAAACTTTAGTATATGTGCTGCCAAAGCAAACACAAACGCTGTAAAATTTTAAATTTCATTTTAAAACTTTCATCTTCCTGGTCTAGATTGTTTTGCATTGAAGCCAAATGGTACTATCTTTGTAAATTTCTTCTTGTTTTCCTGTTTAGTAATGGGAACCTCCTTTGTTCATATTTTTGGTATTTAATCGGTAGCATTTTATCTGTTCATTATTGTTGCTAAGGATTTAAATGCACTTTATTTACCACTAGTGGAGCAGTCTTTTGAAATTAGGTTGCTGGGAATCCTCCCTGTCTCAGGGGCTTATAAGAGTCTGTGAAGGCCTGCACCTGCACCTGTTGACACACCTGAAAGACATACCTGTGGCCGTCTTTCCTCTGCTTGCTGTGATTCCTGATTCCTGCTTCCCAGTTCCTGCTTCCGGCTGGGCATGGAGAGGTGCAGGATGGGAGGGGTATCTACAGTCACTGACCCAGCTCCACCTGAGGCTCACACTCACTGTGTAACTCCATTGTTCTGGACTTAAGGGGTAGGAATCAGGCTTATGAGATTTTATCTTCTGTCAATTTAGGACTAGTATACCTCCTCAATAATTGGAATTTATTGTATTTTACTAAAATATGGCTTCTTCTTGTGAATGAATTGAGATCAAGTGTATAAAGCAGTCTTTAGTTAAATTAAACAGATTGTTTGAATTGATGCATGTGGAATGAATTATTTTACTTTTTTTCTAAGAAATGTAGAGAAGCTGGGAAGAAAATTCATTACACAGTAATGGATAGAGATTGTTTTTACACCTAAATGAGAAGCCAGAAATGCATATAAAACATAAGAACTTCAAAAACATTTCTTAGGCACAGACTATTACTAAATATTCATGGATGTTTTTGATTTCCCATTACATTAAAATACTCTAATGAACTTCATATTCAGAACATTTAAAAATAGCTCACTCTTAAAAAGAAGATATAAAGTATTATCAGCTGTGCTTTTTGTGCATAATTAGTATGTGCCTGTGGAGGTATAATGACTTCTGGCCTAATGATATTATCATGATAAAAGTTCAGATGGTAAAAATTGGAGCTACAGCTGGGTGACACATTTTAAAATAATTCAAAGATGACTCCAGCAAGGAAGGCCCCTGTTTTAGTCCCTTGTAATCCCCCGTCACCCATCAGTGGGTTGTGACGGCAGTGATAAAAGATCCTTGTTAAAATGCTTCATGTGTTCCCTTTCTTACAGATTTGATAGATGCCCACTGTTTCCTTCATTGTTCGGCAGGCCGCTGTGAAGGGACACCACCTTTTCCCTTTTTCCAAGATGGCTCAAGATTCAGTAGATCTTTCTTCTGATTATCAGTTTTGGATGGGGAAGCTTTCCGTATGGGACCAGGCCTCCACTTTGGAAACCCAGCAGGACACCTGTCTTCACCTGCCTCAGTTCCAGGAGTTTCTAAGGAAGATGTATAGAGCCTTAAAAGAGATGGTACTTAGTAGACCAAAATAATGAAATTATTTTATGACATGAGGGACTCTCCCAGATTTCACCAAGACAGAATGCTATCCAGAGTTAGGGACTTGCGGTATTGACCTAATGTGCTCTTGGATTAGAAAGACAAATTACCCTTAGGTAATGCAGACAAGAGCTGGTTTCCTAGTTTCTGATTTATTATTACATCAATTTTTTCTTCTTAAGTAGTTGTGTTATCACGTGAGACTCCCTGACCAAGCAGATTGTTTTTAAATAAACAAGATTTTGATACTTGTTGTCAAGTGATAAATGAGATTCTTTTAAAGGCTTTTGTGTTCCTTGAATCTTGGAGAGTTTGCTGAAATGCTTACCCTTTCCTCAACCCTGCTCTCAAGTGGCCTCTTCTAAGAGATGATAAATCTTAAGATCTCTTCTTATAAATATAATACTTCTGATAAACATTAAGATTTTGAGTATCTTCACTATTGTTAATTTATTTTTAAAATTTAATTTTTTGATTTAATTTCTTTTGTAATAGACATTTTTATGACAGTGCATGCTTTCATATTATGAACATACTCTTTCAAAATGAAATATCAAAATGAAAAGCAAAATTGTCGCTTAACGTAGGTGTTCTTGTGTTATGCTTCTTTTCCCTTAAAGAAGCAAGTAGGAAATTTGAAGACTAATTTGTGTTGATAATGAGTTCATATGTCTTTAGAAATTAGAAGGAAAGATACTGTCTGTGTGAATACCAATACTAATTTTTAAAATTGTTTTTTGTAATATGACTTATGTAACTTGACCTTAATGTGGTCCTGGAAAGTCTAGGACCAGCCTTAATGCTGAGACAAGTGCGAGAAATATTTTTCTGCAGGAGCAAGCAATGCTTATCGTTTTAGCTTACCTGCACATTATCTCAGTTTGGTTTTATTTTTGACCTTTCATGAAAGGTAAAGAAGTGGGAAAAGGGCCAACTGTACAAGGGCATGTGTATTTTTTAATCTTAAGCTGTTTTCTATTTGGTTGATCTTTTTTTGTCTCAGGATTTAAGTTGTTATAGACTAAGTATGATGTCATTTACCATATAGTAATCAAAATAGTAATAAACAGAGATACATATCTTTATGCTTTGGCTGCTTTTATTTCTTCTTACAAGTTCCAGAATTCTTGTCCTTTTAAACCTTCTTTGAAAATAACCTTACTGGAGCTGAGTTAGGAATCTCTCTTAATATGTTAGAATAAAAAACCCAGATGAAAATATGGGATTATATAGTTTTTAATCACCAATTTTTTTTTATTTTTATGCATTCTTTTTTATTTTTAAATAAAGTGGCCTTTCCTGGCTATTAAGTATGAGTAAAATAAAATCAATTTTGTAACAAAATTAATTTTTCCTATTATACATCTTAATTTTGATGACCTGGTTTATGATAAAGTAAGATGGTTGGCTGTTTATAAAACTTTATTTGAAGCCAGGCATGGTGTCATGTGCTTGTAATCGCAGCTACTCAGGAGGCCAAAGTGGAGGGAGGATGACTTAAGCCCAGGAGTCAGAGACCAGCCTGGGCAATATCGCAAGACCCCATCTCAAGAAACAAACCAAAAAACCAAAAAAAACTTTACTTGAATTACTTACCTAAAGATCTTCTCTACTCCTTTTTGCCTACTTTTTAAAAACACATACTAAACAAGAAGCATTCAAGCTCCTTCAGCCTATAACGTCAGTTCAATCTTTATGCGTTACATAATGCCCTTTTACTGACCAAAATATAATTTTCTTTTACAGGATTTTAATACAGTCATTGAAAGATTCCCCACCATTGGTCAACTGCTGGCAAAATCTTGCTGGAATCCTTTTATTTTAGCATATGGTAAGAATCCAAAGTGTGTTCTCTTAAAATGGCTATTTTAATGTTTGCATTGTTTAAGAAAATACAGAGGCTTAAATTATAAACCTTTCTCCTATTTTTCATTGAACAACTTATGTATTCATTACTCCTTTACAAAAATGGCATCCTTTATTGTGCATATATGTGGATGTATGTTTGTATAAACATACACATATGCGTGCACATGTGCAGCTCTATAGGAAAACAAAGCTCTTTGTATTAAAGGGCAGAAACTCTCAGATGATTTAAATGCCAATTTTTGTCTGTAATCATTTTCATAACCTCATTTTTGCTTATTTGTTTTTTTGAGACCGGGTCTTGCTCTGTAGTCTGGGCTAGAGTGCAATGGCGTCATCACAGCTCATTGCAACCTCAAAATCCTGGGCTCAAATGATCGTCCTGCCTCAGCCTCCTGAGTAGCTGAGACTATAGGTGCACATCACCATGCCTGGGTACTTTTTTTATTTGTTGTAGAGATGGTCTTGCTCTGTTGCTCAGGCTGGTCTCAAACCCCTGGGTTCGAGTGATCCTCCAGCAATTACAGGTGTGAGCCACTGTGCCCAGCCCATTCATAACCTCATTTTTAATTCGGTATAAAATGGCTATACTAAGGATACTGAGTTAATTTCTTTGTTTCACGAATTCATATTAACTCGCGTACTGTTTCCCGTGTTGTGAAGTCATTCTTCAGGATCTGAATCCTGCCAGGGGTAACATTTTGGTATTATACAAGGTTGAGAGGAATTTGGGGACACGTTGGGGAGAGGTGTGCCTTCACTGACCTGCCTGCTGTTCAGTCTCATTTCCTGTTTCATCTTCCACAACTGTAGCATAGGTTGTAGCTGGGTCCTGTACTAGCAGTGCCTGAAGGCACTTGATGGCAGGGCCTGCCGCTGGTGATTGATTCCTTTTGCCTCTGTTCTCCTCTTTGTTCTCTTCAGCCTTCTTTAAAATAGCTGTACTGCGGCTGCGTTAGGAACCTCTCAGTGTCTCCTTGGCCTCTAGCATCTCCCTTTATTATAATGTTCTTCCACTGTCTGATGACCTGGAAGGCTGAATGCCTCTTGAGAAAAGGAGATGCGGTTTTAATTCTCATTGTCACCTTAGGGCCTAGCATAGGGTGGAGCAGACACATCCTGAAGGAACATGGTTTGCCTTGGATTGACTATATTGTTAGCTGATGTGATATTTATTTTTCAGAATTTTTAAAGTCAAAGACTAACTGCATAATATAACGACATTAGAACCAAAAATAAAATGAATATTCCCATTTGATGTTTTAAAGAGTTGTACAGTTTCCCTTTTCTAGCCTGTCATAAGTCATTAGAAGGGACATGACCTAGGCAGGAAAGGGACAGCATCCTGTGAGCACATACGCGTGGCCGGGCCGCACACTCAGCCTCACTTGCTCTACCCCTATTCTCATCTGCGCCCCTGCCTCCCCACTGAGGCCTCTTCCTCTTCTTGTTACCCCTCACCTTGTTCAAGTTCTTGATTTAAAATAGCAACACTAGTGAGCCAGCATGGTGTCTGTCCACCAGGGCCACACTTTCCTGTCCTAAATTTATTTATTGCAGCTAGGCCAGTGTTTCTCAAACATCTTTGACCAGAAATACATTTTATGTACATGTGTATGTATATATATGCATATGCACATGGATATGCACATGTACTCGTTTACACACAGACACATACACGCGCACACACATGACTAAACACATTTCATGAAGGAATGCTTACAGTAGTCTCCCCCTTGTCTTTCTGGGCGTCAGTTACCCACAGTATAGTACAATAACATATTAAGAGGACAGGAGAGAGAGAGATCACATTCACATAACTTTTATTACAGTATATTGTTACAATTTTTCTATTTTATTATTAGTTATTGTTGTTAATCTCTTACTGTGACTAATTTATGAATGAAATTTTATCATAGGTATGTATGTAAGGAAAAACCATAGTATATATAGGGTTCGGTACTATCCACAGTTTCAGGCACCCATGAGTGGGGGTGTCTTTGAACGTATCCCCTGAGGGTAATGGGGGACAACTTTGTCTTTATTATGTGCAATCCATGTTCTCTATGCTATTTTAAAACTGGTGTTCATGACCCCAAACTGAATTCACAACCTCTGATGTGTCATATCGAAATGTTTGAAAAGCATTGAGCTAGGCCGATATTGATGGCAGGAAGAAGGAAAAGAAATTGTCGAATGACCTCCGTTTAAAAGCACTACTCATTGTTAGATGCTTCATGGATTTAATAGAAGCTTTTTAGAAGAAAAAAATACTATGCCCTTTAAGTATACATGGTGGATATAAGTCACATCCTCAATTCAGAAATGTTAAGTGTGGGAAAGTTCGTGTCGTAGAGTGGGAGGCAGTGCTCACTTTGTGCTGGACACTGTTCTCTGTGGAATACATGGTGGGTCTTATCGAGTTCTTGATGACAGTCTTGCAGGACAGATAATTATGGGTTAGAGTAAATAAGTTGCCCTCCTCAAAGTACAAAACTAGTAAGAGCCAGGACCCAACTCCTCATGTGACTCTGAAGTCCACCTTGTTGTAATGTTCTGTCCCTACTGGATCATATCTTGCGGTTGAAGTGTTCCAGTCCTGGCATTACCGCTAGCCAGCTTCACTTGAGTGTATATGTTCACTCGACAGATATATATTAAGTGTGTGTGTGTTTTTTTTTTTTTTGCATGCTGCCCCTAGGAAAACATGGCTCAGCATTTCTGCCCATTGGGAACTTGCAGTCAGGCAAAAAGAGACCAAAGCAGATCAGCCTGACCCAGTCAGCATGAAGGCTCCTGTTGCGGATGGAACAGGGAGCGGCAGCGGAGGGGAAGGAGGGTTTCATGGAGAGCCCTGCTGGGGCTGACTGTTGGAGGACAGTTGATGAGATGATATCCTCTAAGACAAGCTGCTGAACTCACTGGGTCTCATATTTTTGTGAAAGTGAGAGAGAGGTTGGAGTGCTTTATCCCTATGTCCTTAAATTTGTATCTGTCTGTGATCTTTTCTTAGCACCTTATCTCCGTTACATTGGCCCCCTCTGACAACCAGAAACAAAATCTCCATCCCTTTCTGTTTCATTGCTTGTGTTACCTTTTAAACTGCCCATTAAATTTCAGTTTCCTGTTTGAGGAATGCCTTTGCTCCTGAGCTCCTGGAGACGACTAATAGGCACAAAACCCTGAGCAATCAAATCCTGCTTGTGTGACCACTGCTGTTTCTCACTAGTTGGGCACTTTCTTCTCAGAAGGGATCTTTTCTTACGGTTTTATAATATCAAAATTGCTTTGTAAATACAGTGAAAGCAAACAGTCTGCATCATGGAAAAAAGCCAGTCACGCATAGTATTGATTGAGAACAGAATCAGAGAAAGGAGTAATAAGGAAGGAAGAATGATTTGGAAACTCATTCCAAAAAGAGAAGAGAAAAATAGATAATAATGAGAGAGAACACTTTTTTATTCAGTGATGTCCCCTGCACACAAATATAGCCTTCACCTCCTGAAATTCTGGTCCCTTGGTTCTAGCTCTGCCTTCATGATTAACCATAACAGCTATGTCCTGTCTTCCTCACAACTTGCTGTCTATTCCATGGAAAAATTTCCTCCAAAACTTCGCAGCTTAAGACAATAAATATTTACCATTTCATAAAATTTTGCTGCCTTCATACTTTTAAACTATAGAATTAAAGTTAAAGAATTAATTTAGCTTTCATTTAGAATTTCACTTCAAGATATCAAAAAATAAAATATTAGGTGGCAAGTGTATGTTGCAGTATTCCTTTCCCATCCACTCATTTTTAGAATCCAAATTTGTACTTAAGATCTGCTGTCAGTGACTGTCCTGCAGTGGATCCCAGGAAGTTTCCCATCTCACTTAAGGTGCCCTGCGGGATGCTCCAGCCTAATCTTAGGGCCTCTAGGGAGGAGCCTGACAGATGGCATCCCCCATAGTGAGTGCTGGTGGCACTCATGAATTACAGGCGATGGCTTGTGTCTGTAAATCACCAACGCAAAGTAGGCTGTAAGCTCATTCATTAGCAGTACATTTCAGTGCCTTGACTCTGGGCAAAGAAAGCAACTCCTAAAGGTTGGGTGGAAGTTTCTGTGTCTTCTTTTTCTTTTCTTCTTTTTGAGAGAAAAGTAAAAAATAATACTCTCACTCATTGAACTAAGTGTGTGGGAATCACTCAACACGTGGGG